TCTCTGGGACGTCGCATGATTCTACCGCGTCGGGCCCCATGGTATGGGACCCTGTTGTGCGGACCCCAGTGCTGCGGGACCCCATCGTGGGAGACCCCGTCGTGTGGCATCCTGTCGTGTGGGACCCCATCATGCGGAGCAGGCCATCAACATATTCTGCAGGGACCCCCAAGAAGCTCCGACTCCTGAGAGGCCGCCAAGACGCTCCCAAGAGGCCCCAAAACGGCCCCCCAGAGGCCTACGAGCGCGCTCCGAAGAGGCCCCACGAAGCATCCCTGACTCTGCCCCACGTCAACGTCGTCGCCGCCGCCGACGCCGCCGTGGTCGTCGTCCCCCTTCAGGGTCGGCGGCACCGGCCGCAAGACCTTCCCAATAGACTGCAGGTGGGGTCGCATCGCTGGGCACCGAGCACCGCCGATCCTAACCGCCCCGATACGCAGCACGCAGCCCGTGGCGCGCTGACACGGAGCTCAGCACGCAGACTTCGCCAAAGCGTGGGCCAACACGCTGAGCCAACACGCAGCGTGATGACACGGACGTTTTGAACACGGCATGCGTTGCGTACAGTCGGGCCTATGACAGAAGAACGTTCCTCAAGAACATGAGACCCTCCGCCGGCCAACACACAGAACATACAAGGGCACCCTCCCCATGATGCACAAAAAGGCCAAACAAGGACGAAGAACCTTAAGGCACCCTCCCCGAATTGACCTCGATCTTTATACCTCCGTCCGGCTGCATCAACACGGGCGCATCGAGGCAGCTAAGCCGCCGATGCTCCCGGCGCTCAGGTGCAGTGGAGCATCGGAGAGGGACCTTGAGCCAGGCAGGCTGGGAGGGGCCAGATGAAGGGGGACGAGGAGGAGGAGGAGGACGAGGAGGAGGAGGAGGAGGAGGAGAACGAGGAGGAGGATGAGAACGAGGAGAAGGAAGAGGAGGAGGAGGACGACGAGGAGGAGGACGAGGAGGAGGGGGAGGAGGAGGACGACGAGGAGGAGGAGGAGGAGGAGAGGGAGCAGGAGGAGGAGGAGGAGGCGGACGAGGAGGAGGAGGAGGAGGAGGAGGAGGAGGACGAGGAGGAGGACGAGGAGGAGGAGGAGGAGCAGGAGGAGCAGGAGGAGGATGCGGCACGGAACGAAGCCGTGAGCACAGCGGGCGCCGCCTGGGAGAGCGCCCGGGCGGCCCGACGGTGTGCGGGGGCGGCGAGCGGCGCCCTGGGCGGAGCCTCGCGGCCCCACGCAGCGGCGCCGCTGCACGGGCGCCCCCTCGCAGACGCGCTGTGCTTTGCGGCGCTGCAGTCAAGGCGGGCACGTCCCCCTACAGGGGGATCTTGGGCGAAAAATGAAGCATACACCCACAGTGCATCCCAAATGCTCAAACATAGGAAAAAAATAGTCCCCCGACTATTTTTGGACTATTTTTGAACACTCCTCCTGTAGAGGGACAGGCCCGACTTAACGCTACAGTCAACCCGTATAGCCCAGAGGGCCAACGTGCTGACAAAGATCAGGGCGGAGGTGTTTCGCGAATTTCGGCCCTGAGGCCCCTCGCCGGGCCTCGGGGCCGTGAAAAAACGACTCAGGACGAATAACTGGTCCTGGGGAATGGGTCGAGAACTCCGGGAACCCCGCATTGACAAAATGTCGACGTCGGATCTCTGGGAGTAAGGATGCGCGATAAGGATGCAGGGACCTTGGAAGGCCATTCCGAAGCTTTTCGAGCGGGGCGCGGCCCACGAAAGTGGCGAAGGATGGGCCGAGGAGGCAAGGATGCAAAAGTACCCTTGGGAAGGTTGCCCATGCTTGCTATGCGGGTTTGGCTGTATGCAGTCGAATGTTGCCATGACGTCTCCGGCGCGTAGCAAAACCGATGCAAGGTCTCACCACTCCAATACCACCACCCGTGCGGCAGAGCCAGAATCGCGGTCTCGCAGCGGCGCCGCTGCACGGACGCACGGCGATCCCCTCGCATCATTGTGCTTCGCCGCGTTATGCAATCGAATGTTGCTATGACACGTCAGGCGCGTTGCAAAACCGGCATAGGGCCACTCCAGTGCCACCATTCCCTGCGGCAGGGCCAAAGATCGCGGTCTCGCATCGGCCTCGCTGCACGGATGGACGGTGATCCCCTCGCAGACTCATGGTGTTTCGCCGCGCCATACAATCGAAGGTTTCGGCGGCGCGCCCGGGGGGGAAATGAGAAGGGGCGGGGCTTCCCAGAAGGCTCGGAAGTCCCCCAGCCTTCCGAGGAGTTTCCTCAGCCTGCCCCGAGGGCAGAACACACTTCTCGGAAGGCTTCTGAGCAGTGCCGCCGCCTTCTGCGGAGGCCTTCTCCCTCTCACTCCCCCCCCCTCGCTCGCCGCCGAGCTTTCAGGCACGCTGCAGCTCCGGCGCAGGGGCTCACCAGTCCAGCACCACCGCTCCCTGTGGCAGGGCCGTTGGCTCTTGACCCTCCCGGCCTGCCAAGGTCCTGACCCGGCCACCCGGCCATCGCTCGGACGTCAATTCCCTGTGCTTTCTTCGGTTTCGTGCGTGGCTTCTTCGCCAAAGGGTCAGGGATGCTCCTCGATGGTCCTCGCCGAAGGAAACATGCACACGTCCGAGCGATGCCAAGGCCACTGGGCGGGGGCCGCGAGAGGGTCCGCCACTCCACCGTACCTCCAGGCCCCGAGCCGGCGGCAGGCCCACGGGACGCACACCGTTCCGGCGGGCGCCCGCCGGAAGCAACAGCGAGCGCCGCCATCCTTGGCCTGAGAGGGCCTCATTGACCAACGAACACGAGCAACAACGAACGCCCAGCAACAACGAGCGCCGCCATCATTGACCGCTGGAAGCAACAACGAACGCCGCCAGGACAGGAGGGCACATCGTTGGAGGCCCTGGAATGGGCGCCAACACAGGGGGTTGCCTCCACAGGGGGGACGATGATCCTTTCGGTGCTGGTGGTAAGATGTCGGTCACCCTGGAAGCCAGAGCATTACCACCGTCGCCGAGATCGGGATCTTCTTCCCTCGGTGGAGGCACACCGCCGATATTGGTGTTGGTGTCAACCTGTCGGCCTGCGACATTGGAGCGTCAGTGGTCTGTGCCAGGAGCACCAATCGGCTGCACGCAAGATCGACGCTGGGCAAGGGTGACCTTTGCAGCTTTTTGGGGGGCCGCGGGGGTACCAAAGTCAAGCGCGCAAGACGCTGCTATCGCATCGCGTTCGGCGCAACGGGGGGACCCCAGTGGGTCCGCACCGAAGGTCACTCCGGCGAAGGGCCGCTCCTGCGTGCAGTCGGACCATGGCCCGCCTCCTCCTCGCGCTCCTCCCCTCGAAGGGCAAAAAACAAGATGAGCAGACACCTCCGGAGCCCCGCGCAGACTCCTCGGGTCGGCGCCTGGGCCCTCCAGGCGGCGCCGAAGGCGCCCGCGCGGAGCTCCGAAAGTTTAATGTTTATGCGAGGTGTTGTTCCTCGATTTCCACTCCTCCTCCTCCTCCTCCTCCTCCTCCCCCTCCTCCTCCTCCTCCTCCTCCTCCTCCTCCTCCTCCTCTCCTCCTCCTCCCCTTCCTCCTCCTCCTCCTCCTCCTCCTCCTCCTCCTCCTCCTCCTCCTCCTCCTCCTCCACAATTACACAATATGAATACCACCCTCTTCTCTCCCCTGGTGGCGTCCGGGGAGTGTCTGGCCCCCCTCCGCGTACTGGTTTCTTACACACAGGATTCCTGGGAGTTGGGTTTTCGCTGTTTTTTTCCAAAATGCTGCTCTCGCTGAAGCGCTGGCATTATTGTCGGGCTACCGCTCGTCCCGAATCGTGTTCCCGCTGTAGCGCTGGCCATATTTCCGCGCTTCCACTCGTTCCGAATCGTGATCCCGCTGCAGCGTCGGCGTCATTGTTTCCAGCGCCATGTCACGGCATGTTTTTCGACCCTTCCAAATAGGCCCCAAAATATAGAAAATTCCCCCCGACAAAAAAAACACTGAAATGATTTCACATGCGGTGTTGATTTTTTGGGCCGCGGAAGCCCCACCCCCCACTTTGGGGCGTCGCCACGCCATGCTATCTCAGGCTACGCGTCCTCATTTCCACGCTTCCGCGCTGAGTTTTTTTCAAACTGCTGCTCTCGCTGAAGCGCTGGCATCATTGTCGGGCTACCGCTCGTCCCGAATCGTGTTCCCGCTGTAGCGCTGGCCTCATTTCCGCGCTTCCACTCGTTCCGAATCGTGATCCCGCTGCAGCGCCGGCGTCATTGTTTCCAGCGCCATGTCACGGCATGTTTTTCGGTCCTTCCAAATAGGCCCCAAAATCTAGAAAATGGACCCCCGAAGAAACCATGGGAAGTGATTACACATTTGATGTCGACTCGTTGATTTTTGGGGCCGCAGAAGCCCCCCACCTTGGGGCGTCGCCACGCCATGCTATGTCATGCTACGCGTTGATCTTCGACACCATGTTACGCCATGGAATGCTATGCCATGCTACGACATCCGATTGTGCAAATAGAAAGGAGTCTACGCCATGAAGAGATGGGAAGGAGGGGTAGGACGTCAGATATGACGCGAGCGCACCAAGCTTGTCCTCCTCCTCCTCCTCCTCCTCCTCCTCCTCCTCCTCCTGCACTCATAACGCCGTCAGAATCAGTGTACGCATCCTTTTCCTCAAGAATGTACCTACTGTCACTTCGCGCCTTATGACGATACGCATGATGCTCTCTCATCTCCTCATTCCACCTAACGTAGCCTCCTCTCTAAGCAATCCCACTCCCTTACATCAACAATCTACACCCATCCCTGCAAACTCCCTACCTCCCTGCCTCCATCCGACAACATTACCGCCTAATACTCTCATAATCTCATCCAGAGCTACTCGTCCGCGACTCGCCCCTTCCTCCTCCCTCCTCCCTCCCCCACCTCCCTCCTCCTCCTCACTCATCCCATCATCTCTCCTCCTCCTCCTCCTCCTCCTCCTCCTCTTCCTCCTCCCCTCGCGGGAGCTCTCCCTCCTTGGGGCGTCGCCAGCCTGCGCCTCTGCCCTGCCCCGTCTTCTTCTTGCGCACCCTCGCCTTCGGCGGCCGGCACACCGCGATCTGGTCGGCCTCCGCCGACAGGTAGAACCTGCGTGCTCGAGGCCGGGGATTCATCATGATCATGATGATGATGATAATGATGATGATCATCATCATCAACAACAACATTATCATCATCATCATCATCATCATCATCATCATCATCATCATCATCATCATCACCACCATCATCATCATCATCCTCATCCTCATCCTCATCCTCATCCTCATCAGCATCAGCATCATCATCATCAGCAGCAGCATCAGCATCAGCATCAGCATAATCATCGTCATCAGCAGCAGCAGCATGATCATCATCAGCAGCATCAGCATCGTCGTTATCGTCATCATCACCGTCATCGTTATCAGCATCGTCATCATCATCATCATCATCATCATCAGCAGCAGCAGCAGCAGCAGCAGCCTCCTCCTCCTCCTCCTCCTCCTCCCTCTCCTCCTCCTCCTCCCTCCTCCTCCTCCTCCTGCCTTCTCGTCCCTCATCATCATCATCATCATCATCATCATCATCATCATCATCATCATCTCATCATCATCATCATCACCATCACCATCACCATCACCAGCACCATCATCACCATCACCATCATCATCAGCAACAGCCAGCATCTTCATCTTCATCTTCATCTTCATCTTCATCTTCATCTTCATCTTCATCTTCATCTTCATCTTCATCTTCATCATCATCATCATCATCATCATCATCATCATCATCATCATCATCATCATCATCATCATCATCATCATCGTCAATCATTTTCAGCAGAACAATCATCATCAGCAGGGGAGGAGCGGGACGAGAAGAAAGAGGAGGAAGAGGAGGAGGAGGAGGAGGCGGAGGAGGAGGAGGAGATGAGGAGTGATACAGGGGGGGGAGGAGGTGGAGAAGGGCGAAGAGGGAGATCAAGAGAAGGGAGGAGGGAGGAGAAGGTGGAGGAAGGAGGAAGAGGAAGGAGGAAGCAGAGGAAGAGGAGGAGGGCCGGGGACAGTACCGAGGACCCAGGGAGACCAGGACAAGGAGGATGGTGGGAAAGATGGACTGGGGGATGATAGCACATGGGAGGCAACGGGAGGGGGCAGGAGAGGCAAGAGGAGATCCCGAGGGGAGGGCACGGCGGGGAGGAGAGGACCGGGGGGGGGGGCGAAAGCAAGAAGGAAACCAGAGGGGAGGGGGGGTCAGCTGAGCAGGGAGAGGGGATGTGGGAAGAACGGCAGACAGCGTAAACAAGTGGCACGCGTGCCCTGGCTCTTGCACAAAGGAGCTGCGAAGGACAGGAGGCCCCCGCTTTCGTCTTTCAGGAGGAGTTCACGAGGAGCCAGAAAGAAAGTGGAGGAGGAGGAGGACGACGAGGACAACAACGACGAAGACGACGACGACGACGACAGTCGTCGGCGGCGCCCCGCCGCGCGGCTCGCCGCCCGCGGTCGCCGCCGCGGCGCCGCCGCAGGGGGGGGAGCAGTCCCGGGAGGCTCGGGGGAGGGGGGGCCGCGGCCCAGGGGAGCCAGAGGGGGTCCAGGTGGACGAACCACAACGACGAAAATAAAGGTGTTCGAGCTCTAGAACTCAGCTTTGCAAGAGAATAAACGGTTCCGTGGCCCAGGGGGGCTGCCCTAGGAAGCCTGGACGGAGGGAGGCTCCCAAAGGCTCCCACGGGGGGGGGGCCCAGAGGAGCTGGGTCTCAAGGGGAGGGGCCCAGGGGGACGAACGAACCACGACGACAATAAAGATGTCCGAGCTCTAGAGCACAGCTGTGCAAGAGAATAAAGGCTTCGGCGGCGCAGGGGGGCTGCCCTGGGAGGCTCGGGGGGAGGCTCGGGGCAGGGGGATCCTGGGAGGCTCGGGGGAGGGGGGGGGTCCAGGGACGACGAACCACGAACGAACCACGAAAATAAATGCTTCGGCGGCCCAGGGGGGCACCACGAAAATAAAGGCTTCGGCGGCCCAGGGGGGCTGCCCTGGGAGGCCCTGGGAGGCTCGGGGGAGCTGCCCTGGGAGGCTCGGGGGGAGGCTCAGCGGCCCAGGGGGGCTGCCCTGGGAGGCTCGGGGGGGCTGCCCTGGGAAGCTCGGGGGGAGGCTCGGGGCAGGGGGATCCTGGGAGGCTCGGGGGAGGGGGGGGGTCCAGGGACGACGAACCACGAACGAACCACGAAAATAAAGGCTTCGGCGGCCCAGGGGGGCTGCCCTGGGAGGCTCGGAGGGAGGCTCGGGGCAGGGGGATCCTGGGAGGCTCGGACGATGGGGGGGTCCAGGGACGACGAACCACGAACGAACCACGAAAATACAGGCTTCGGCGGCCCAGGGGGGCTGCCCTGGGAGGCTCGGGTGGAGGCTCGGGGCAGGGGGATCCTGGGAGGCTCGGGGGAGGGGGGGGGGGTCCAGGGACGACGAACCACGAACGAACCACGAAAATAAAGGCTTCGGCGGCCCAGGGGGGCCTGGGAGGCTCGGGGGAGGGGGGGGTCCAGGGACGACGAACCACGAACGAACCAAGAAAATAAAGAGGTCCGAGCTCTAGAGCACAGCTGTGCAAGAGAATAAACTCGCCTACCTAAGACATCCGCCTCCCCTCCGACCAGCAGCGTGCCCGACGTGTGTCCTGCGGGTCGACTCCCGCGCTGCCCCCCTGGCGCAGCCCCTTGGTGCCGGCCCGCGCCTGCTCGTGCCGCAGTGGGAAACCCGATCATTTGAGCAGGGACCGACCGTCCCGGCATTCCTATAGGCCTACCACGACATGTTCTTAGAACCCAAAGATGTTCGAATAACAAAAACAATGTTCTCAGAACACAAGCCTGATGTGCTAAAACAGGACAGCCCCAGCCAGAAATGTTCTAAGAACATCTCGCGCGGACCACAAAAGGTTCTTAGGACATTCTTTGGTAGGCCGATAGGCACGCCAGGACGCTTCGCCACTGCTTGAATCACAGGCCGTGCCTCTTCGCCCACGCGGCTCGCCCTGTGGGTCGCAGCCAGGCAGGTGCGATGCCGATACCTTGCAGATTCGACCCGACGTCGGAGCCATCGCGGCCCTGGCACACACACAGACACTACGTACACAGTCAGACCGATAAGAAGGACGCGCGATCAGGATGCAGGGGCCTTGGAAGGCCATGTCGACACCCTGCGGGCGGGGCGCGGCCAGCGAAAGCGGCCAAGGATGGGCCAAAGGGGAAGGATGCGAGGGCAACCTTGGAACGTTGCTCATCCTCACGGTGCGGGTTGGCCGTACCGTGACGCGAAGCATGTGCATGCGCCAACTCAGAGGGATCGGGTCGATTCGCGATGGCTGCACGCTTCGAACTCGACTGGGCCCCTTGCTCAGAAGGGCTGCTGGCCGGGCCCCGCCTGCCCACCAGGTAGTTCGCGTAGCCCTCGGCGCGGTTGTTCTGGACAGAGAAGGGACCGCTCGGAGGATTGGGCTTGTTGGTGACCGGCCGCTTCTGCGCGTACAGCATCGTCCTCCAACTGGGGAGGCAGATGCGAGGAAATCCCTCAAGACCGCGCACTCTCGTCGGCAATCGGTCGTGCCGTGTGCAAAGTCGTGGAGATCGAGCGGCAGCCTGCAGGCAGCGGCAACATGCTGCACGTCCTCCTCGCTTGCTTTTCCTTCCCCTCCACCTCCATCTCCTGGGTACTCAAAACGACCAGCGCTGTGCAGGAGCACGTGCTCCCACCTGCAGTGCCAGATGATTTTGGGCAAGAAGGCAGCCACTTCAGGAGCACCCACGCAGAGAAGTAACAGCGGACATCCACCTCTTTCAGGAGGCTGCGTACGTAACACGTGTACGCGGAGACTCTGGCGAGATCGGACGTTTGCAACACATGCTGGTCACACTTCACTGATGAGGGCAGGCTGTGGAGAGGACGGGCAGGAGGAGGAGGAGGAGGAGGAGGAGAGGGAGGATGAGGAGGAGGAGGAGGAGGAGGAGGAGGAGGAGGAGGAGGAGGAGGAGGAGGAGGAGGAGGGGGAGGAGGGGGAGGAGGAAGAGGAGGGGGATGCTGATGATGATGATGATGATGAGGAGGAGGGGGAGGCGAAGGAGAAGGAGGAGGAGGAGAAGGAGGAAGGAAGACTTACCGAAATCGCGCATGCACACCTCACGGTCCTGCCATCAAGCGTCCAGCACTCGTCGAAATAAGACGCTGCCGGCTTCTCGCAGAATACAGGGAAGGACTGCCAGCAGATGTTGTGACTCAGAAGCTCCACGTATGGCCTGGGAAAGCTCGCGTGAAACGCAAGATCGTTCACCACTGATGGTATTTTCTCTCTCTCTCTCTTTCTCTCTCTGTATCGCTATCGCAAATATCTTTACAGCTATATTGTTTTATGTAAAATTATCTATAAGTATGGTTATTGTAACGACTATTCCCCAATCAGTGCTTGCACTGAAGGGGTCCTAGCGGAGGTTGAAAGATTTGGCGAACATTTCCCGCCGATTTTGGTCGCACGCTGGGTTCCCGGGTTCCCGGTTCCAGGTTCCCCGGTTCCCTGTTCACGAGCCGATTTCGGTGGGCGGCGAGGTTACCAGGTTCCCAGGTTCCTGGTCGATCGTCTTATCGATCGGTCTCAGCATCGATCTCATTTCCCACCTCTCTATCGATCTCACCATCGGTCTCACAATCGATCTCACAATCGATCTCGCAAGCGATCTCACTAGAGATCGCCCGAGCGATCTCGCGATCGATCTCCCTGTCGATCTCATTGAATCGGTTTCACTCTCGGTCTCACGATCGACCTTACAATCGTCCTCTATCGATTCCACTATCGATCTCATTATCGATCTCACAGTCGATCTCAAGATCCATATGACTAATTTTCAAATCATCCACTGATTGGGGTTTTCTCAGGTGTCTTTTTCCCCCATCAGTGCTTGCACTGACGGGGTCCTAGCGGAAATTGAAAGATTTGGCGGGAATTTCCCGCCGATTTTGGTAGCAGGCTGGGTTCCCGGGCTCCCGGTTCCGGGTTACCGGTTATTGGTTCCGAGCCGATTTCGGTGGGTTCTGGGTTCCCGGGCTCTCGGGTTCCTGGTCGATCTCCTCAGCGAAAACCACCCACTGATTGGGCCCAATCAGTGGATGGGCCCATTCCGGTGGGTTCTGGGTTCCCGGGTTCCCAGTCGATCCCCTTATCGATCCTGCGATTCATTATCGATCTCATGATCGATCCCACTTTTCATCTCACCCGATCGATCTCACCATCGATCTCATCAAACCATCCACTGATTGGGGCTCTCTGGTGTAATTTTTGTATTATTCGTATAATTATCTCTCTCTCTGTATACATCTATAGTTCCATTCTCTGTCCCTATCTCCATCTCTCTCCCTCGCACTGCTGTGTATCGAATCTTCTGGTCCCTCCTCTAAACGTGCCCCGATGTATCACATTATCCCTCAGGGTGTCGATGTGAGTCTTGAGTGATGCCACGTGGACTTGACTCAATCGTACAGTCAATGTGTCTCGGAGCGTCCTGCTTGTACCATGCTCGCCAACGCAAGTTCGTCTCTCAGTGGCACCACGTCGTGTCTCAATCGCTGAGAGCGCATTGCAGATGACCCCTCGTCTCCATTGCAATCTCTCTTACTTGTTCCTTATTTCTCACCCACACCATCAATCAACAACACATACTTGGCGCGCATTCGCAGCAAAGGATGTGGCGGGCGAAATGGTGCGCGGTTCTCTTTCCTCACCTCTGCTCATCAACCTCCTTCTACTCATCCCTCGATTCCTTCCTCCCCTCCCAGTTCCTCCTCCTCCTCCTCTTCCTCCTCGTCCTCCTCTGCTCTTCCTCCTCCTCCTCCTCCTCCCTTTCTTCCTCCTCCTCCTCCGCCTCCTCCTCCTCCTCCGCCTTCTCCTCCTCTTCCTCTTCCTCCTCCTCCTCCTCCTCCTCATCCTCATCCTGCTCCGCCTCTTCCTCCTCCTCCTCCTCCTCCTCCTCCTCCTCCTCCTCCTCCTCCTACTCCACCTCCTTCCTGCCGCGCAGGCGCTCGTGCGCGGGCTCCACGACGTGGGCCATACGGGGCTGCCGCCCGACCCTGCTGGGGGGGCTGCCGTGGCCCACGCCCTTCGCGCCGCAGGGGGTAATCGCGAGGCTGGTGCAGCGCATCAGCCTTCCCGACGGGAAGGCTGATGGCGTGGGAATTTCTACATCTTGAGGATGTGCCCTGTGGAGCTGCACCGTGGGCACCCCCAGCATCAGATGTTCCTTAAATCTGTGGCCTCCTTTGGGGCCCCTGACAACCCTCTATAGACGGGCTCCCTGGCTGGCCCCTGGGCCACCCCAACTTCCCGTGCTCATGGAGTTCCAGGTGCTGCTGCCGGCGGTGCGTCCGTGGTTGCGGCGGCCGCCAGCCCCGAGATCCGGCGCGCCAAACAAACTGGAGCGGCGGGATTTTGGCCGTTTTCGGCCTCCGGGGGGGCCCTCGCCAGGCCTCGGGAGCGTCAAAAAACGACTCATGACGAAAACCTAGTCCCAGGGAAGCGGTCTGGACCTCCCGGGTCCGCGCACCGGAAAAAATTGGAGCAGCCGGATGTCTGGGGTGGGGAGACGGGAGGATCCACCAGGGCACGGCCCTGGCTCTGACCCACCCGCCCTGGGCGCAACGGCAGCTTCGCAGGCCGCCGCAGCTGCAACGCTGCTGACGGTCTCGGAGCAGCGGGGCGCGCAGGGCGGCGCACGCGGCAGTGCAACCACTGCGACGGCCGAGGCGGAAGGGTCGGATACGGAGGATCCTCGTCCTGCAGCGGCGTCTGCCTATGGCGGCGCCTGGGCAAAACAACGAAAGGCTCTGGTTGCTGATTGTGCAACCCTCGCTCAAAAAGACAAGGTCTGCATCATCGTACTCTTCTGTGCAGCGGGGTGGAAGGAGTACAGTCGAGTTCTCTGGAGGTGCACTGGCGGGCCCCAACCCAATGATTAAGAAAAGCGCCCAGAGACCTTTACCTTTTCCGATGGTGCCGTCTAAGCCGCGTCTAAGCCCGACGACTGAAAACTGCAATAGGCCGCATATTCGTGTGGTGCCGATCCTGCTGTGGAATGTCCATGCTGACATTCTGCTCGGCCAACATACCTAACTCACAGCGTCAACGGTATTCAAGTGTGTTGCGCAGCTGGTGGCCTGATATATGGAATGTAATTCCTCTCACTCTGGTATCGGGCCCCCTTGACTGGAGGTGCAGCAGCGTTGCCGCCAGCTTCACAGCCGTGATACATGCCACGTTCCTTGGAGATGTTGGTTGCGGAATGAGGTGAACAGTCATGCTGTCTCGAAGCGGGGCGTCTCTGTGATCATCGTCGTGGCGCTCGGCCGCATCGTCGTTGTTCCTGCAGAGCTCAAGGGGGGCAGCGCTTTGCTATGACCTCGTCATGGCGTCCACTCTACTCTACTCCACTTCACCTCCTCCCTTATCCCCTTAGCCGCTTTTTCCTTCTCCTTCTCCTGCTTTATCATATCCCTCCTCATTTGCATTATCATTATTTTCTTTCCTTATGTTTCTTCTCCCGCTTGACCTTATCCCTCCTCCTCCTCCTCCTTCCTCCTTCGTCCGCCTCTTCCTGTTTTGCCTTATCCCTCCATATTCCCCTCCTCCTCCTCCTCCTCCTCCTCCTCCTCCTCCTCCCTCCCTCCCTCCTCCCTCCCTCCCTCCCTCCCTCCCTCCCTCCTCCTCCCCCTCCGTCTCCCCCCTCCCTCTCCATCTCGCCAGCAGACGGCACTGCTGCGAAGATGCGGCGGCTGGCCCGTGGTCCCCGAAGACGATGCGCTCGTACCCCATCGCCAGCGGGAAGCCGCTGGAGACGTTTCTGATGAGGGGGCCATCTGGGCTGCTGGCTCGTCCAGTGGAGAGGAGGACTGGGCAACGCGTAGCCAAATCACGAGGACGATGGGCACAGGGGTTCTGCTTCTCTGCCCCCAAAGCCGAAGCAACTCGCATCCAGAGCGAGACGAACACACATCAGAACACGTCAAACTAGTTCCGCCAGGGCCCACCCAACCCAGATCTCAGGCCATCGCCTCCATCTCTAGGGGGCCGAACAATGACAACATAAAAACTCAAAGGCTCGCGCGGATTTCCCAGATCCGAGAACTCCGCGCGGACCTCTGAGTTTTTATGTTTATGTCATTCTTCGTTCCCCTATCCCTCCCTGTCCGCTGCCTCAGGCCATCGCCTCGAGGAGGAGGAGGAGGAGGAACAGAAGGAGGAGGAGGAGGAACAGGAGGAGGAGGAACAGGAGGAGGAGGAACAGGAGGAGGAGGAGGAGGAGGATGAGAGGGAGGAGGAGGAGGAGGAGGAGGAGGAGGAGGAGGAGGAGGAGGAGGAGGAGGAGGAGGAGGAGGACATCCACTCCCGCAGGCAGCCCATCGCTGGAGTGGGCACGAGCCACGCCCATGACGCCGCCGTGCACGCCCTGCTCCGCGGCGGGCCCCGCCCGGCCCCGCTGCAGAGGCACCCCCTCGGGGGCTCCAGGGCGGACCTCGGGCTGCGCCTGCCAGGGGAGGCGGGGGGCGCCGTGGGCCACGCTGCGGGGAGGGGGCCGCGTTGCGGTGCACAGCAGGAGTGGCGTGTCACCGATGATCCCCATCGCCAGCGGCGCGGCCTGGGCCCCACTGGCCGATTTGCCCCCCCCCAAGATGTTTTGTCCACGACGCGATCATGTCTGCGTCCTCTCCTTCGGCGTCAGACGGCGCGCGGCGACGCGGTGTAGCCACAGGGGTCGGCCGAGTTGCCCCCCCCCCCCCCCAGATGGGGGCATAGGCCGTCCCCTTCGGGCTTCGAGAGGCGTAGCCCCAACTGGGGGGGTGATTTGGTGGGGGTCTCGAAGGGGATGGGGGTGGGGGTGGGGGTCGGATGAACGGTACTGACAATAGGAGCTCGACCACCAGAAACCTTCCACAAGAAACCCAACCGTGAGACCCGAGGTGGGAACGTCACGCACTCCATCGCAGAGACGTCGAAGCCCAGGAACCCCAGGGCACCCTGGAGGCAAGCAGGGTGTTTCCTGGCATGGGTTCCCATTGCATCGCTTCGCCGCGGCTGTCGCCCGATCCTCGCTCTCGTGCCGACAGCTGGAAGGCTCAGAGCGCGCGGAGAGGCGCAGCCGACCCGCACAGTGGGGATGCGTGGTAAGGATGCGGGGGCCTTGGAAGGCCACGTCGGCACACTGCGAGCGGGGAGCGGCCAGCGAACGCGGCCGAGGATTGGCCGAAGAGGTAGTGTGCAAGGGTGGCCTTGGAAAGTCGCTCGTCCTGATTGTGAGGGCTGACTGCAATCAGCCCTGAGGCAAGCCGCACATCCGCCCAAACTGCACCAGTCCGCGCCGCCATGGGCGCCATGGGGCACGAGTGAGAGGAGCTCTGTCCTCCCACGCACGGCCAGGCCAAATGGCAACGACAATGCAGCTCAACCTACAACTGTGGAAAGACGAAATCCCGCCACAAGTGCCCGAGACGACAATCGCGTGCGCAATGCCGAAATGCTACAAGCTCCTGTGCACAGAGTAGAACTGCGTCACCGAGTCCCCGAACTCGGACAATCCCAAAGTCTGCTCCACCCGGTTCTTGTCACGCTCACGGTTTGGCAGCGACACCGTGGAAGTGGAGAACACTCGCACCCACTGGCCTGAGAGTGCTGAGGAGGAAGAGAGATAGCAACAGCAAATCTAGCATCATGGAAACAAGCATATGAGATGGACATGCCTGTTCAGCAGAATTTGCATCATCAGGAGCGGTACCAACACAGTTTACAACAGTCAAGGCGCATCGCTGTCAGAGAGGGAGATGCTGCCCCGACCACTTTGTGTGCGAAGGAGGCGCGCCTCTCAACTCACTCCTTCGATTCAGGCTCGCATTTAGCGCTGCTCCATGGACTCCAGTTTGCGCCCGTCTCGCTATGTACTCCTGTTGGGCAGCCCTGTGAGCTAAATCAGTTCCCCAATCAGTGCTTGCACTGAAGGGGACCTCGCGGAGACTGAAACAATAGGCGGATAAGGGAAGGTACGGCGCCGATTTCGGAAGGCGGCCAAGTTCACGGGTTCTGGGTTCCTGGTTCTGGGCCGATTTCGGTGGGCGGACATGTTCATGGGTTTTCCGCTTCGGGTCTGGACTTCCCAATGTTGTAAGGTTCCCTCGGTTTAGAATTCTTGGTTGCTAATTCCATGCGGCCGCGGTCAAAATTATACGGTCGAACATAGCACACGCACAAACATATATATATACATACATACACATACATATACATAAACATTACAGACAGTAAAGAGCAGCGTTGAAATACTGCATTGCTCAGGGCCCATTCTATATGTTTGTAGTGACGGATAGCGGATTAACGACATGTCTATGTATACGAAAACACACATATGTATGCAGATATGTGTACATAGATAAACATATCTATATTAATAAATGTATGTAAGACTGCATTGGCGCGTCGCGCCATGCAAGTTGGTCCTGTGAGCTTCGCGCAGTGCGGTTCTTCGCGCCATCCGCTCTTGCTGTGAACTGCGGCCGGGTCCCCAGAATGGTTTGGTCTGCGCTGAACCCGAATCTCGAGGCGGACCCTGCCATGCGGCGGCGAGAACGCCGGAGGCTGCGAAAGGACGGAAAACTGTGGGAAAATCTCGAACCTCGAACCTCGATGCTTTGCCGTCCTCTGCCGGGATGAAGAAACCATCCCCGAGATAAGATTTTCGGAAAAAAGAGGCTACGGATGCTCGCAACGATGCTGATGGTAAGCAACATTTGCAGAGAGTTGATGGGATCCCGGGTTCGCAGCAGATTTTCCAGGAAATAATTGCGAACCTGGGATTCTGGTCTGACTGCGGCATTCCGTAAGGAAGCGCAGTCCAGGGAGCTCTTCAATGGCCTGTTGGGGCGATCTTTGGGGGCTTTTGGGCCGTCAATGAATATGGCCTCTCGAAGCCGTCTTAAAAGTTGTTTGGGGCTTGTTGGATCGACTAGGGGCCTTATTGGACCGTCTTGGGGGCCGAGGGCCTTCTGGAAACCGTCTTGGGGTCATCTCGGGCCCCCATGGAAGCTTCCCATATCCCTCTTGTCTTGGGGCGCCGCTGCGAACTCGCCAGCGCAGGACTCGAAGGCCGCGCGGGTCGCAGCTGCCTCGCTCGCAGGCCTTCTGCATCGAGAAGCTCTTCCTTGGCACCGGCCGGCTCGCCGGGTCTGGACTGGCCGCTACCCCGTCCAGCTCCACGTAGGCCTTCCTAGAGCGCGACCTCTGAGAACTGCTGCTAGAGCTTAGGCCCGACCGCGCGGCGCGGTGCGTCCTCGATCACGGCGCCATCTTCAGGCTTCCAGTCCAGATCGGCAGCGACAAGGCATCCATGCCGGAAACATGCGTTTTTCTATAGTTCTTGACACATATTCGACTCTCTGGGTGCTCTATGGACTGTCTTCCGCCTCTTGTAGGCCCGCCTGCGAGCTCTCTTGACCATTCCTGCTGCCCTTTGGCCTCGAGCGCGGATTCCAAGCGACAAGGCGAGAAAACCAGAACCATGAAAGTTCCCGAGGTTCTCAATTGAGCATCCGAAACAAGGTGCATGGCGCGAAGCGCCAATGCAGTTTTGTGTGTATCTGTATATACACATATTGTATTTAATTTATGAATGAAGATACACATCTATTTAACAATAACCATATATATATGTATATATGTATGTATGTATGTATGTATGTATGTATGTGTGTGTGTGTGTATGTATGTATGTATGTATGTATGTATGTATGTATGTATGTATGTATGTATGTATGTATGTATGTATGTATGTATGTATGTATGTATGTATGTATGTATGTATGTATGTATGTATGTATGTATGTATGTATGTGTGTGCATGTGTCTCTCTCCTCGTTTCCTTTTACCCCGTGTTCGCGCGCCCCCCTGGACAAACAACGACGTTGTCGCGAATCGTCTCCTGCGCGCGCCACTGCACAAGCGAGCTGTCACAGTGCCGACAGAGCCGAAGGCCGCGCTGGCGGCGCCGCACCTCCCTCACCCCGGCGTCTCCCCCCCGCGAGCTCCGACGACTTTTTAGTGCGTGGCCCTCGTGCACCCAGCTCGCGGCCCTCCTTGACGCGCGGCATTTCCTGTAGAGCATCTTGCCGCCACGCGCGCCCTCTGCTACTTGCATGCCCTTTCCGACCCTTCAACATGCGATCGGGGCAAGCGTCGTTGGCATGGACCCGAGCACTGGGAAGCTTCCCAAGACCTCGCGGTGAACCCTTTGCTCGAGCAGTCCTCGCCTCGCATACCACCTTGTCCCCTTTCTTCAACTGGTTGCTCCTCTGATCACGGGAAACGTGCGCCTGCCGTGGAAAGTCATGCTCGAAAGCGGCGCACCGCAGCTCCCGCTTCGCGGCCGCATCTGCCCTCTCCTCATTCGCTGCCGCATCTTTTTCCATCGCTCCTGCACGCACCGCTCGCAACGCCGTTCCTCCGCGCGCTCCTCGGGCTGCTTCCTACTGTACGCGCTCCCTCCGACTTCCTGGGGCAGCGCGCGCACGTGATGCTCTCCCTCCTGCGATGCCTCGAGTTACCTCCCTCGCTCTCGCACGCAGCGCTCGCAACGCAGGGCGTCCGCGCGCTTCTCAAGCTGCCTCTTACTGCACGCGTCTCTGCCCAACGTCTTCTGGCAGCCCCTTCCCTGCGTTGCCTCGAGTTCCCTCCCTCGCTCTCGCACGCAGCGCTCGCCACGCAGGTCATCCGCGCGCTTCTCGAGCTGCCTCTTGCTGGCCGACGTCGCCTGGCAGCCCGCGCAAAAGCGGCGGGGCTTCCTCGGCGGCCGCGCGCTGGCGCTGCTTTTGTTTCAGATCCCAGACTTTCGCGGTCCATGCAGCGCGCGTTCCGTGTGTCTCGCGTGCGCGTTGCTCCCTCCGTTGGAGGGCCGGCGGAGTGGCGTAAACCCTGCGAGTGAAGAGAGAGAGAGTAGTTTGCGACCTCTGCCACGGGCAATGCCGAAAAGGGGGAGGGAGAGGTTCGAAGGACAGGGAATGCAGCACTTATAGAGAAGGCATGCCAGGGAACATAGGGCGAAGTTAGGCATACACACATATATAGAGAGAGGAGGGTGCGAGGGAGAGAGTGAGAGATAAAGACAGTGTGAGAAAACGAGAGAGAGAGAGAGAGCCAGATATTGGCAAACAACGAATCGATTTACTGGTATATGCATGCATGCGTGCATCCATGAATACGTACGTATAAACACATACAACGTATATACATGTATATATATATGTATAGATGTATAAGTATATAGATGTATATAAATATAGACATGCACACATAAATATGTGTATATGAATATATAGACGTGCGCGTGTATCCGCACACACGCACATACCCATATACGTGCGAAGACGCTTAGATATCAGACGATAGAGCGCCGAACGAGGTGTGCGGGCATATCAAGTAAACGGAGAGCAGTGTATCTTTATCTATATACACGCCGTTACTATAACATAGGGTGGTCGTATAGGTATTAATACACCAGAGCGGAGGAGACAAACTGAGAAGGAGAGTAGGACAGAGAGAGAGAGAGAGCGGCCAGGCATGGAGTGCACGCTTGCATGAAATCACTAGTTTCTTTGTTATATGATGTAGCGTGGTTGAACGTCAACGTCGGTGCCAATACCCTCTCCCTTTCCGCTTCGTCCTCCGCCTAGTGATCCTCCGCCTCATGCCGCTGCGCGACGCTGCAAAACGTTGCATCCATGCTGAAGCCCAAATCGGATGGCAGAAGCCATGATGAAAGAAGCAGGCGTCCCCAATGCAATTTCTGGGCCCCGCTGTGGGTGAAGACTGGCTGGACTCTGCGAAAAGACTGCTTGCACGCAGCATGCTATCGGAGGAGTGGAGTGAGTGCGCGTGGGATCGTTGCTCGTAAGCCATGTCACGAACCATTACCCTTCAAAGCCAGATTACCAAACACTAGACGTACATTTGTCGAGGCTAAGTGTCCACCTCCATGCACGCTGAGCACATTCGAGAGAGCGCGCACACAGCGCCGGAGCAAAGGGGGGGGGTCCCCCCTTGGCTACCCCCCCTCCCTTCCACCTCCCCTGCTGGAAGCCGCCCCCCCTCCCCCCCCCCTCCCCCCCCTTTTTCACCTCCCCTGAACCCCCCCCCCCCTCCCCCCCTTTCGCTACTCCGGATTCCCGAAGCTCCCCCCCTCCCCCCCTTTCCAAAGGGAGGGGGGCTTAGCTACCCCCCCCCCTCCCCTCGACTCCTCTCTTCCGGAAGCTACCCCCCCCTTCCCCCCTCTGGTTCCAAAGGGGGGGGGCTTAGCACCCCCCTCCCCCCCCTTTCGGCACCCAGGAAGCTACCCCCCCCCTTCCCCCCCTTACGAAAGGGAAGGGGGGCTTAGCTACCCCCCCCTCCGTTGACCCCCCTCTGCGGAAGCCCCCCCCCTTCCCCCCTTTGGCTTAGCAGCCCCCCCCCCCTCCCGTCCCCCGCTTTTCGGCACTCGGGAAGCTACCCCCCCCCTCCCCCCCTTACGAAAGGGAAGGGGGCTTTGCTACACCCCCACCCCCTCCTTTCACCCCCTCTGCGGGAAACCCCCCCCCTCCCTTCCCTCCATTTTTCTCCCCCTCCCCTCCCTCCCTTTCCAAAAA